TCAGATCTACAAAGTACTTTGAATCGGATACAGCATACTCACAAACGCACTGGGAAGCCTCTCATTCGAAAGCGCAAACGTCAACCAGAGACATGGAAATGTAATATACGGAAGAAAGCAAGGCAGTCTGGAAATGAATATGTGAACAGCAAAGGGCATAAGACAGATGCTAGATCTGTAAAAACAAAAAAAGATTGCAGTAATTGCAAGTTTCACTGCAGTTCAAACATCACCAATGAAGACAGAGAAGCAATTTTTAAAGAGTTCTGGGGGTTAGATGACAATGCAAAATTGAACTTTTAAGCAAGAACAACTACACAGACAGACACTAAAAGACCTGTTGCTGGGCCTGGAAGTCGACGACATAAAAGCATAAACTATACATTTCCCCTGAAAGGAGACCTTGTTCGAGTTTGCAAAGTGTTCTACCTCACAACATTAGATATCAACCACAAGCGCGTCCAGCTTTTTCATCAGAATAAAAAAGATGTGTGTGGAACACCTTCTGGTTTAAAGCGGGGTAATAGTGTAAACCGGCAGATTCCACAGGACATCAAGAATGATATTTGTGCCATATTGCATCATTACCTCGTGTAGAGTCACATTATAATCGTGCTAACACAAAAAAAGAGTATCTAGCTGAGGGGCTGAATTTAACAAATTTGTATGAAAAATATGTTGAACAATGTAAGGAAAATGGAAAGACACCAGGAAAACAACATCTATATCGCCAAATCTTCAACACAGAGTTCAACATAGCTTTCCATGTTCCAAAGAAAGATAGGTGTGATGCATGTGAGGCAATGAAACAGAATGAAAATCCCAGCGAAGAGGAAAAAGAAGTATATGAGAAGCACTTAGATGGTAAGAAAGAGACGAAACTGGAAAGGGACAAAGACAGGAAAAATGAAAACTCATTTATAGTCTGTTTTGACCTGCAGAATGTTTTTTCCTTGCCTACTGCAGATGTCTCCAACTTCTTTTACAAGCGAAAACTAAATGTGTACCATATGACTGCACACTGTTCGGCAAATAATAAAGGGTATAGTGCATTATGGCACGAGGGACTAAATGGCCGTTCAGGGAATGATATTGCAAGCTCAGTTGTGAAAATATTGGAGGCTATTGTGGAAGAGAATGGTGATGACCCAAACATAAAGCATATGATCTTATGGAGTGATTCATGTGTTCCCCAGAATAGAAATAGCCACTTTGCTACTGCAATAAAGATCTTTTTAAAGAAACACCCAGAGATTGTTTCAATTGAACATAAATATTGTGAACCAGGTCACTCTTGTATTCAAGAAGTGGATAATTTGCACAGTCAAATTGAGACAGTTTGTCTTCACTGTGAAATGTACAGTCCAATTGGACTGCTCCGCATGCTAAAAAAGGTAAATCGGAAAAATCCCCTGAAGATTATGCAGATGAGGGCAGATGACTTCAGAGATTATGCTAGTGTTGCTGCTAACGGAATTTTTTCAAGAGTTCCTTTTGCCAAAGTCAAAGCTCTGTTGTACAATCAGAAAGAACCTAAAACTCTAGGATATAAAACAAGTTTTGGAGCTAATGTCTGGGACATTAAGAATGTATGGGAAAGGAAAACCACCAGAGGGAACAGCAGGTCTGATGATGCCAAAGTAGCAAGTCCATCAGGTGGTTTAAGTGAAGCAAAGAAAGATGATTAGAAATGCATGTTAAAGTTCATGCCATCCCTTGACAGGGAGTTTATAGCAAATCTTTTGAAGTAAAATAAGTCTTTTGTTATGAACGAACTTCGAACTGTACACCAAAGTACTGGTCTGGCTTTTCCAGAAACTTCAACTTTTATATACTGTAAATAATAATGTTCTTCACTAAAAACATTTGGAGGGGATAAGAGTACATAATTTAATAAAAGTTTAGTTATTTTAAACTATGGGATCTTAGTATTGCCCCATTTAATAAATTATGTAAATGCTTCCACATGCTTTATTTACAAACTAAGAGGATATCTTCTACCGGGGTGCAATGAATTCTCAATATACTTTCATAACAAAATGGCACTTTGAAAGCTAATATAAAACCACATTTTTTAAAAATATTGGGGGAAGAGGCTCAGCCCCCCATATTTGCTTCTGCAGGGGGCTTAGTCTGTCCCCCCCCCAGCCATCCCAGCTCTGCCACCCCTGCTCTGCTCAGTTACAACACAAATGTACCATCCATGGGGTACAGGACTAGAGTATTTTAGCAGCTACAGGAAAGGAAGGGCCAGATAGGCCCTAGTGATTTTTAAATTTAAAAGTTTTCAGTATTACGAAGGTCTAAATGCAAAACTAAATTTGGCGATCTGCCAGGTATTTATTAATTCGAACAAAAAAAATATGGCAACATATTCACCGATACTACCACTATATAAGACCAAAATGTCGTGACATTTTATTCTAATCCAGAGCGCCTATTGCTACTCAAAGCTTTAAAGGCGATTTTCGTCAGAAATGCAAAAATGGAAAATAACCTACAGTACCTGGTACAAACCGCCAGCCACAAACTCATTTCTCAACAATGAATGCTGTAGGTACTGGTACTGTACAACCAACATTGTAAGTCTTAATTGTAACTCTTGCTACCCTCTCACTACTGTATGACTTAGACTCTGGCAAATCTAAGTGGGCCACTGAAGTGCATGTGGAGACTGGCTTCAAAACTAGTGCTTTGAAAAGCATACTCACCCACTCCACCTTGAGCCCTATTGCATTCAATTCAGGGATGGCCCTATATTCACCCTGAGTGATATTAGGTTTTCTGATCATTTTTAATAATAATTATGCAGTACTTGATCATTATTTTCCCTACTATTAGGTTCATGTATGAGGCTCGGCTTGATGTCATAAATAGTCTAAACAGTAGCTCCATATTGGTTGTTCTAGACTGGGCAATGAAGTTCATCCCAAGAAAGTATCGTGAGAGCCAGTCAGACTGGTTTGGTAAGAGAGGCTTGTCATGGCACATTGGTGTGGCAATGAGAAAGCGAGAAGAGCTCCTGGAGACACTGACCCTTCTGCATATTTTTGACAAAAGCAACCAAAACAGCCTCTATGTCTTAGCCATCATTAATGACATCATTGACAAGCTCAAGGCAGCAATTCCAGGTTTAAAGTCCATTAGTTTCAGACAAGATAATGCTGGATGCTATCACAGTGGACCCACAATCCTGGGAGTACATATGTTGGCAGAGAAACACAATGTCAATGTGCGAATGGATTTTTCAGATCCACAAGGTGGTAAAGGAGCCTGTGACCGCAAAGCTGCATCCATAAAGAATCACATGCAATCATACTTGAACTCTGGTCATGACATATCAAGTGCACAAGACATGAAAGCAGCAATTGAGTCCAGCGGTGGTGTGTGTGGTGTTGTACCCATACTTTGTGGTCCTCTAATTGTGCCTGATCCTGGTCCCATCCAAAATGGGAAGGTGGTGCCTAATCAACGACTTTCAATTCAATGTAGAACAAGTGAAGGTTTGGATGGCCTACAATATTGGAGTTGGTAAAGAAGTGCCATATAGCAATTTTTCTCTGGAATGTTTTGAACTTCCATCACTAAGCAAGATTGATGATGTCATCGACACTGACCTAAAATTTTGTGAAATAATAGGGACTTTACGCAAGGACGACGGAAGGCGTAGAAGATGGCGTTCAAAGCTATCTGACATCATGAATTTTAACTGCGTATGCGTTTTCAAAGACTCTTGTTTTGCGAGGGCAGTCGTGATTCCGTCGACGACTGCAGATTGTGTATTTTGAGGTTGACTAGTCAACGCCAAAAGAAAAAGGTAAATAAAAGCAAAAATATTTAACTTGCATTATTTTTTTTCGCATGATTGATTTTTGCACCATTCTGCTCTAAAATACCAATTATAATTGCAAATGAATTATGAAAATATGTATTTTATACCAGGCTTTCTGAACGTAGACTCGTAGTTGCTTAACTTGTTTCGAAGCACATGGATATAGTAATCCTGCTAATGCAATCAGCATGCCAAGTCAAAAGTTGAAATCATATTTGCCAATGGCCTATTCTTTTTCTTTTTTAAGTACTCCTTTTTAATATGAATATGATGCTTTATTAAGGGCAAGGCACAGAATCATTAAAATCAGGTACAGGATTGTATTTGAACAGTGTTTATATCTGGTCTAGATGACAAACAATACAGGAAATATGGAACAAAACAAAACAAAAACCAAGAAAAGGTCAGAATGTGTTCTGTGTCATGCATGCTGTTCAGCTATATAGTTTGGCCAAAAATATGGAGAGTTATGGAGAGGGGAATTAAAAAGCAAAAAGTAAACAAAGCAAATGAGTCTGCAATTAAAAAAAAGTAGTAATTTAAATACACTTATATAAAACATTTCAGCAAAATGAGCTGACTCTGATGGTTTCACAGTCTGGTCCTTCTTCCCCCTTATTCTGACATTGCTAGGGAGTATTCATCAATAAAGAGTATGTTGAGAAACTGACCTAGACCACTTTTTACAAGAAGCGTGAATTTAAATAGGGTCAAAGTACAAGCCTTAGTGTATAGTCATTTGTTGATGTGAGACAACACATAATTCAGCAAGATGACAGTAATTAACTCTCCTACTGCTAGCAATGGTAACATCCAAGATTTACTTTTTGCCACAATCATGTGTGTATTTGATTTAATGTCATTCCTTTTAGAGCATCCCCAATGATTTGGACGGAAGAACAAGATGAGGAACTATGCAAGCAAATCCTGCTTATTGAACCATTCCAGTTCAGACCAAGAACTAGTTAGAGCGGCAGTGCTTGGAGTAAAGTGGCAGAAGAGCTGAACAAAATAACTTCTTTGCAGGTGAAAGTTGATGAAAGAGCTGTGAGAGATAGGTTTAAAACAATTAAGAAAAAATTCCAGGATAAAATGCGAGATGAAGAAAATGCATCTGGAATTGCCCCTCCAGACTTGACTCCTTGCCAGGGAGCAAGATGTGGAGCTCATGCAATCCCAGGAAGATGATGAGAAAGGTAAAAAGATTGAGAAAGACAAGAAGACTGCTGAGGAAATGAGACTACAATCCTTAGAAACATTTTCAGAAACCAAAAAGAGAAAAGCAGAAAATAATGAAGATGATGAGAGTTCAAAGGCCAAGAAGACAAGACGATCAGGCTCAGAAACCCTGTTGTACCTGAAAGAAAAAGCAGAGATTGATATGGAGTTCAAGAGGGAGGAGTTGGAATTAAAGAAGAAAGAACAAGAAGAACAGTTTGAAGAACAGATAGCAATGAGGCAACAACAAAGTGAACTTTTGAAATCACTCACTAATATGCAGCAATCAATGCAATGCCATATGCAGCAATCAATGCAATGCCAAATGCAACAACAAGCTGAACTTCAGCAGCAGCAGATGCAACAAAATAATCAAATGATGATGATGATGATGCAGATGATGCAAAGCACAAAAAAAAATTAGACAGGGATTGTAACAATAAAATGTAAGTTATATTGACTTAGATAACATTCATATACATTTTGTTCTTTTGTTTGTTTTGTAGTTAATATACTACAGGTGACCTGATCCACTGGGGCATGTTGCCATTTTAAAAATTCTGTGCATGCTGATGTTTCCCATTTTACAAAGCTTGGAACTGTTATATTTTAATTATTTCAGTACATGTAATTAATTATTCCAGAAATGATCCATGCATTTCTTGTACATTTTACAGAGTACAAACAGCACATTCAGACTCTCTGGATGCCTTAAATCTCATTGCTAGGATGTATGGATCTTTCTGGACAACCAATTATACATTAGTTAAGTTTTATAATCCTCATGTAGTTGTTCTACCCACATTAATTAGGCATGTGAAAAGTTTTAGTTCTTGTGAAGTTATCCTGTAAAGTTAGGCAAAACTTAATAAACTCTTCATGTTTTTCATTGGAAGTAAACTTCTAATTCTGGTGGGTCCAATTGAAAAAAGGAGGTTGTTACTGACTTGTAAAGGCATGTCCGTGCATTTGTAAGTAATGCACAAACCAAGTACATTTTCCCGACAGCACTTAAACCAATTTTCAAGTTCTTTTTAAAATCAAGGAAGGCAAAATAATTTGCAATATCGCCAAACACCCACTCAACTGATACCCTTACTCTACTCATGGCGGCATTATACTCCTTTTGTAGAGGTGTCAAATGGGGACCTTTAAATGGGCGTTGCATATGCACACTTATAGGGTACGCTGGATCTCCGCAGATAATGAGTTTCTTCTCTCGGTTAGCTGCAAAGAAAAATCTCGAAGTTTCATTGACCTCCAAAGATTATGATGATGACCAAGATTTGCTTGCAGCCATGAGTGTACAAGAACTGGATCAGATGTGCCAGGAAGTCATGAATGAAATTTCTCTTCTGCATCCAATCACATATGAATCATATAACATATGTGAGATGTCTGCTGCTTCCAAGCTGTTAAAGTTTTCTATATCAATGTTACAGGACATCTGCAAGTGCCATGATCTTGACACTTCACATATCAAACAGAAAAGAAAAAAAAACATATATTGACTTGCTGGAGGGACTTGTCAAGTCATGCACATGCTGACAAAGCTATTTTCGATCAGTTGGCTATTGTACATCCTTAGCTCAGGCAAACACAGTCTGATATACAGTATGTACTATTAGACAGCTTCAATCTTGATTGAATGCACATTGGCTCTTTCAACATTTCTACTGTATATAGTTTATTTTAGAGGGAGAGGTGTCAATTTTAGTTTACAGTATTATTGTATTCATATGTATTATATTCTGTTATAAATATTTTGTTATACTTAAATAGGAACCATTTTTCAAAGTACAACTAAAATATTGAAATGCATGATTTGCCTGTCAGGACTAAACAGCTTTATATCATATAAAGATTATATATTGTTACTCACCTTATGTTGTCTTCAGCGATCTCTGTGATTTATAAATGAAATACGACATAGTTTCATTATTGTGCGCAGTGACCTCACAGGTCAAAAGAGTAGAATTTTGCCGCACTTTGACAGCTCGCCGCGTCGCACATAGACATTTGCCCAATGATTCATTTACATCACCTGAAAGGTCCTTCTTTCAACATTTAATCAACAGAGTTCCAAAAGATTTGTAGACATAGCACACCAGCTACCAGACGTTTTGTATGACCGACTTTTATTGCTACCACCGACTTTTATTGCTACCAAATACATGCATTGAATGACAAATTATTTAAAAATTATTCAGTGATACGATAAACTGGAAATTTGGCCAAATTGTAACCATGAAGCTATTTGATATGAAAAAGCAGTTAATCTTAACGTGGGATGCTTAATTTGTCAAAAATAAACCTCCAAAGTGTGTCTATAAAATTACCTGTATGGCCACCATTTTGTGTAGCCCCCGTTATTTTGCTCATTTTGCCCTAATGCAACAATATTTGGTCAAACTATGACACGTTTCTCAGGATACATTACCCCTTCAAACGTGTAAGTATGAGCGAAATCGATTTTTGAGTGTTTGCCACTAATTTTCAAATATGTTTGATTTTTACAGGCATCTACTCTTCATTGTTTTACATTTTAATGAAAAACAAGTTGATGTTCCTACAATCTCGTGCAAAAATGTTTGAGACAAGCTATTTATTGAAGTATTTATCCTATAAAAAGTAGTTTTTGCCCCCTCCCCCCCAAAACAATGTTGTTTCAACATGTTTTGAAGTAAGGGGATATTTAACAACACATTTACAACATTGTTTTGGGGGGGAGGGGGCGCCAGTCGGAAAACGTTTGTAAAAATGTAAAGTGTCTCATTATTTTTGCATGAGATTGTCTGTGTACATGCCTTTATGTGTAGCCAGGTTAAATAAAATTACGTAAAAATTATTTTAATCCTGCAATGAGCCCAGCCACCGTTTCTAAGTAGTATAAAGGCTTTGATGTAGTTGCTGTGAGAAACTCGATGAAAAAAAAATGATTAAGGAACACGGATCAGGGGCCTGGGGCGAGTAAACAGCCATTTTGAATTTTATTATTCCTTCTGACAGCAACGACGAAATTCTTTAAATACAAAAGTAATCACACTGTTTATGGCCGAATGGAGCAGACGCGGATGTGCCTGAGTCAGAATGTGATGCTGACGATTTCCATCACAATTCGCTAACTTCTTCAAACATACGAAGAACATACTTGGTGACGTATAGCCAAGCAGACCTCCAAATATTTCCGACAAGGCAAAGTTTTGGAGAGCAAGTTTCTTATTATTTTAACGAAGGGACGGGAAAAGTTAAAGTTGAGTACTGGGCCTGTTGCAAGGAGCCACACGAGAACTATGGTGTACATTATCATATGAGCTTAAAGCTCGATGGAGCGAAACGATGGAAAAGAGTGAAAGATAAAATGATGCAAAACCATGGAGTTGTGCTGCACTTTTCCAATAATCACGATAACTATTATTCAGCGTACCAATATGTCACAAAGGAGGACACTGAAGTATTTTTAAGCGCCAATCACCCAAACCTTACCGAGATTGGTTCTCCTAGGACCAAAACATGCATTCGAGCATATTGAAAAAGTCGAATGAAGAAAAGAAAACCCGATGTAACCGAGCCGGAAGAACAGCCTAAGAAGATTGTTAAACGTCTCAGCAACTTGGAGGTCTCTGAATTTATGGTAGCTAATGGAATAAGAAGTCACACAGAGTTGCTTGCCATTGCGGAAGCCCAGAGAAAGGAAGGCCAAAGACTTAGTCAATTTCATTTTATGCCGCTCAAACAAATCTGTCCAGGAGCTTATTGACAATACCTGGCGTTTGCAACATGCACAGGCTACCCTTGATAGAAAGAAACAGTCTTGTATGGACTTGCTACGGGATGCAAGCAAAGTAGTATGCGTTGATGGCTGCAATGGCGAATGGATAAGGTGTGCACGACAGGTATTAAAAAACAACAATATTCATCCAGTGGTTTTTGGTTCAGCGCTGAAGGATCTTTTAACAAAGGGAAGGGGGAAATTTAGAAATCTTATGCTTGTTGGCTGTGCGTGTTCTGGAAAGACATTTTTGTTTGACCCGCTTTGCCAGATATTCAAAGTTTCGTGAATCCGGCCTGTGATAAATATGCATGGGTGGGAGTTGAGGAATGCAAGGTTATCTATCTAAATGATTTTAGATGGACCTCAACTCTCATATCATGGAAAGACTTTCTGTTACTCCTAGAGGGACATGTCGTTAATTTACCTGCTCCGAAGAACCAGTACGCAAATGATGTTTGCATTGATACCGACGTGCCCATTTTTGCCACTTCAAGCAATCCAATCGTCTTTTACGACAGAAACGGGCGGATCGACGAACGCGAAACGGAAATGATGTCGGTGAGATGGAGGATCTTTGAATTCACTAGACAAATTCCACAGGCCGAACAAAAGGACCTTCCGCCGTGCCCACGCTGTTTTGCCGAACTAGTACTGTTGGATGAACAGTTCTGACTCGCCTTGGTGAACTTTTAACTTTCAAGAAAAACATGAAACACGTTACGCGCACGTTACGCAACACGTTACGTTTGGGATCATAGAGAACATTAACGAAAACTGACACGTTACACATGTTACGCCTTATTATTATTAGGGTTAATATTTCTTCCTTTAATATATTAGGCGTAACGTGTGTAACGTGTCGTCTTTCACTGTGTGGTTAGATGATATAAAGCGTAACGTGTGTGTAACATGTGTGTAACGTGTGCGTAACATGTACATAAAGTATTTGAATTGAGTTCTGTTCAGTTGAAGTTTTAAACAAGCCTTTAAAGTTCTTCAAATCTTTAATTTGACAAAGCCAAGCTTCACATGCGTTTTGGAATATACATTTGTCATATAGTTTTCATTCCAAGCACGGATAAGCTATATTAATTGAAAAAAAAAACTAAATCATTGTACGTGTGATAAAGAAAGATAGAGAGTATAATTAATATTTCAGTCGTTCTCCTCGTTTTTCAATAACCATTGCTATTCGTTTGTTCATTGAGTCAAGGATTCGGTCGATGGTACTCTTTGATAAATTGAGCATCGTGCTCCTGACTCTTTGGGAAAATTGTTCAAATGTTTCTGAGCTTATCTGCTTTTCAATTGCATCTTGTTGAAGCTGCTTTGATACCAAGTGAAAGAGGTTTTCGATGGGGTTCAAGTCTGGACTGCGGGGTGGTATGGCGAACGTCACTGCTCCCACGTCCCGAAAAACTTGCCTTGCTGCAGCACTGTTCTGAACAGGGTCTCCGTCTTGGAGAAAACGTTTCCCTGTAGGGTTGGCACTGTCGCAAAATATACGTGGAAATTCAAGTCGCACGTACTTGGCAAAATTTTCACCTTTCATGGGATGGAAGTATTGATCGCAGGACACTACTCCTTTTCCATAAGTGATGGATACAAAGAAGTGCTTCATTCTACCTTCTACACCAGTCTTTTTGCCT